AGTTTTTAAATATTCAAAAATCTGTATCTCATTCACCGTTCCCCAGTTTTTCGTCAAACAACTTTTTTTCCGTCTTAGAAAAATCAGTTCTACAACATATCAAAAAATTTTTCCTCCGGAGCCTGACTTTAATGTAAACAGTTTTACACTCAGTATTAACTTTGTATTTTGATTTATATTGTTTTATATTGTTTTTATATTGTATTATCTGGGTCGAACCTCTCCTGCCGCGAGAGCGCTCCTCCGTTTTAAAGGAGAGTACCAATAAATCGTATCGTATTGTATCGTATATTGTAATCATACAAGTTTGATTTACGATCTTCATGAAGATATTAGTCGTTAATATAATACAGATCCAATTGCATACGTGTGATGCCCCAATTTTAACAAATGTTCTGACGAAGTTAACGTGCCTGTATTTATTTAAGCAACTTTTAGGAATAAAGTTTATAAAAATCGTTTGAACCCACATTATAATATGACCGTTATTAACATAATTAGGCCTATACTTTATAAATCTAATATTACAATGTTCTTACTCAGACAGTGTAGACATTACTGATTTGGCCGTGCTTGCGTCAAGGCCAGTGGTTGGTTCATCAAGGAATAAAATTCCGGGCTTGGTTACCAGCTCCATACCGACGTTTGTCCTTTTCCTCTCGCCACCTGAAATACCACGTATAAACGCAGTTCCAACCTGCGACAATTAAACAGAAATAGAGGTATATTTTTTGACAGCCGACCACCCCCTCCCCCACAAGATTTTTCAAAAATAATGGAGAAAGAAAGAAAATTATAATTTGAAGGCTGAGTGCTATTTCCAGCCATCTAAAGGCACCGTAATCATAAATGTTCTTACCTCAGCTCCAACCATGGTGGGGCTAAAGTGATATGGACCCCCCCCCCCCATGTGTATAAGAGACAGATCCTTCCCCGAGCCCCCTTTATTTCAAATTCCTGGCCACTGTTTTTAGATCTGTTTGTTTTAGGCTATTAAAGTCAGACTCCGGAGGAAAAAAAATGTTTGATATGTTGTAGAACTGATTTTTCTAAGACAGAAAAAAGTTGTTTGTCGAATAACTGGGGAACGGTGAACGAGATACAGATTCTTTCATATTTAAAAACTGGGGGAAAAGGGGCGTAACCGCCCATTTTTACATCCTTTCCCCCAGTTTTTAAATATTCAAAAATCTGTATCTCATTCAAATTTGCTCAGTTTTTGATCAAACTACTTTTTTTATGTCTTAAAAAAATCCGTTCTACAACATATCAAAAAGTTTTTTTGTTCCAGAGCCAGACTTAAAACTATCCTTTGTAAAGATTTGTTGCAAAACAATATGTAAAATGAAATACTAATAACATTAAATTGGCTAACTTTTAATACTTTTCAGTGTTTTCTGTAGAATTCCAAACACCATAGGCCTAGTTTATTATATGTAGACAGTTGTGTATCTAACCTTTGAATCGGCGCATTTTGATAAACCTAACTCCTTTATGATATTGTTAACGCGTTGTCGTTTTTCTTGTGTCGATACCTCTTTTCCAAGTCTGAGTGAAGCGGAGAACATTAAGTTTTCTCGAACAGACATCGTTCCCATCACCACATCATCCTAAAAAATGATCAAAGCCATCTGCAAAAACTCAGTCTCGGATTCAAGGAGGAGCTGGGAAACCGGCCCTGAGGGTGGTATTCCGGCAATCTGAGGTATGATAATCATAAATTTCCTTACTTCCGGCACTTTTTTTTCTACCTTTCTTGTGTTTAGACCCCACCTGTGAAAGTCCTTCCTTGGGTCCCCTAAATTTCGAATTTCTGATCCGCAACTGAAACTAGAGCACTAGCAATAACAAAAAGAGAAAAGGGCAGGGCACGGAATTTGAAGTTAATAAAGAGGGGCACGTACCTGGACGACATAGCCAGCGATTAACCGGAATTCCGCTGGTTGAGGTAGACCGTCGATTAATACTACACCTGACAGACCTTTGGGGTGCTTCCTTGCGGCTAACACGTCTAGCAATCTGTATATTTATTTATAAACGTAAAGTTATTCTTTCTTCTAATTTAAGAAAATGGCACACTTTGGATAGGGAAAGGAGTATTTATTTTTTGGTGTGAATCACACCAAAGATAAGACACAACATCCGAAGACTTTAAGCTGGTTTTCCACTAGGCGAATTTATCCGCGCGAATCAAAGCGTCGGTACGCTTCCGGTGCTCTGATTGGTTGCGCATTTTTTCGCTTCGCAAAACTTCGCAAAAATTCACCTAGTGGAAAACTGGCTTTAAACTAATATTACTGATAATCACCCAAAGTTCACCCAACCGATTTTAGTATTTAGTAAATGTACTTTTTGAAAAGTTAGTCTTTTTTTTTATACTTACGATGTTTTTCCACCACCTGTTGGTCCCATGATTGCATTCATTCCCGGAGTAAAAATACCACTTAAGAAGAAAATAATAATTGTCAATTTATACTAATAACATTGAGTATTACAATAACTTACTAGGCCTATTATTGTTCTATTATCTAAATATTTTAAGATAGGCTTACATGTAATATATAGGCCTAATCCTTTCTTATTATATTATTATCACAGTGCTGAAGTTATATAGGCATAGGCCTATGCCAATATTTAAAGTAATACATATTTTGTCATAACATAATATAGCCGACGGCCAAGGACTGATGGTCATGATTTGATGTCATCATGACCATATTTAGGCATGTCACATGTTTTTGTCAAATAAAATGTTGTAGTGTGGACAGGGATTAAGAAATTATCTTTACCTGATGTTTTTCAAAATAGTTTTACTCGCATTTTTACCGGCAACCTTATCTGGGACATTGTAAGTGATGTCATGGAAGGATACAACGGAGTGGGTGCTCGTTAATGATTTCTCGAGTTCTCCCTGGTCTTCCAACGCCTGGGAGGAGTTCGACTGGCCGCCGTATGACCCTGCATTTACTTCGTTGCCATTCAGTAATCTAGTCTATTGAAAAAAGGAATAGTTTACTATCCTATCTTACATTCAGGGTTGGAGGGTGCACTCGCTAATGATCATAAACAAGCTGTGTAGATCATGGACATATGATCGGGCGGGGTGGGGCTGCAGATGCACCCTACCGCCATTGCTTAAAATTATATAAAAAAATAAATAAAGGACCATTGAGAAGTACGC